AGAACTGGCAAATATATCAACAAAATACTGAGACTATCATTTTCTTGATGAATTACCCCGTTATTTAGAAAGTACGATGTTTTACAAGTCTTTCCTTTTGATTATATAACATTCATTATTCTAAAATCTAGACATTTGTCTTTTATACTATTTTGTACAGAATTTCACAGTGCATCTTTTCATTAGAAAATCCAAATATAGTAATCGAGATTATATGCAAAAAAATTACACATGAAAAATTACCCATTTATTCTGGATCATCTGATATTTTCGGTTACGATAAGCTGAATGGGTTTTTATACAAAACCTATTAAGATACGAATCTTATGTGAGATTTCGTACGCTCGTACGATAGCTGATAAGTATAGTAAGGATCTACGAAACAAAATAGAATTCGTGCGGCACTTTTTTTCTTTTGATGTACCGTCTATATAGAATATCGTGCTAGTTTGTAATAAGATATTTTGGATGGACAATTGATTCCATGAAAGATGCTCCCCAGAGACAGTTGCTCACTAATAACAAGTGCTTACCGGACAGGTACACTACAGCGATGTCTTCTCTACTTAAAGTTCAAAATAAATTTTGAAGAGCTACCGATTTATATAAACCAAAAAGCGTCTAAAATAGTTACAGATCAGTGCAGAATTCACAAATATATGGGAAATTCAAGAATCATTTTGGGAATTACGAAGTATCAATCCCACTAAATTTTTGTCATAGAATGAAATGGTAGCAGTATAATAAGGTCGTGTGCGTGAAGCGTCTGTCTTCTCTAACTCCATACCAGAGGTGTCGCATGGGTGGGTTAGCCCGTCCAACCCGTTGGGTTGGAGCTTCCAATGGTTAGCTTCTAACCCAATCCGGTGGGTTGGGTCGACATTTGAAAAATCTCAAAATCCATCCACCCACCCACCTAATTTCAGATTCAAACCCTGTCCGGTTACCCAGGGTTGACCATTGAATGAACCCATGAAATTAACTCTGTTTCTGTAGAATAATTATAGAAAATTTTATTTAATGAAGCTGTCGTTACGATATGGCGTATGTGATTCATCAGTGCCTTAATTTTCTTTGGTCGGTTGATCGAATGTAAATTCGATATAAGTTATATGAAATTTACATTCTGAAGTGTAAAATCAACTCCGACGACAGAGAGAATAAAGAGTAAAAAGACAATAACTTATTTTCTCTTTATTTCCTCCGTCGTCGGAGTGTGGGTGTGGGTGCTGATGTTCCATTTTCTAGCTACACCCACACCCACCACGGTGAAGATTATCTTTTTATCCATATGAAAATAAAAATAATATCTATTATTGTATATCCTATAAAATGATTTTTCATTTTATTAACAATTTATACAGTGGGATTTGAACTTGCATTTCTCTTAATAATACTTAATGAAAAATTCAAATATTATAAAACCCAGGGTTAACCCAATGGATTACCCAATGGGTAGGGTTAAGCTGCTCAACCCAACTCTGTAACCCATGGGTTAATAAAAAAAAAATAGTTGAACTGATTTCCACCCAATCAACTACCGACTATGGGTTGGGTTACCCATGGGTTAAAAAAAAAACAAAGAACGGCAACTCTGCTCCATACCTACACTCACACTCCATAAGCGCTCCGCACGCACCCCATACCAACTCCCACAAATGCATTCACACCCTCACTCTCAAATAGGTTTGCGGTTTATAATGCGTTATTCAATATGTGAAAGCAAAAGCTTATATTTTTTGAAGGTTTATTTAGATTAATTAATAAAATCGATACTTGTTAAAAATGTAGATCGTCCTCCATACTAGCAGAATACTTCTTAAATGCTGCAATGAGCTTGAAAAAGATTCCAAGAGAAATCGTTTCTTGGTGACTGTTAAACATTCTATAAAGAATTTCAGGTGATTGTTCATAGACCCGATAAAGTTCAAGCAGACCTTCACCATTGATACCTTTGAGTAATGGTAGTAGACTTTTCAAATCATGATCAATGATAAATTGTAGGACATGTTGATCGTTCCAATCATTGATTCGATTAAATTGGCGATAGTCTGTCCGGAATAATTTACTGATGGGTGGGTGCGAGAATATTTGATTATGGGCTTCCAGGTTGTCTTCTAGTGTTACATCGAGATTTGTTTATTATCCATATTCGATGAAAGACATTCGATCAAAACTACACTTACCTCGACAACATCGTTTGACTGCCGCTCCGCGTACGACAGTAATGTCGGGCCTTTTCTTTTCATTGTCATGACTACTGATTGAATTATTCATCGTGTGTGGTCAAGAACGAACCTTCGAATGGATTGATGACAAATCGATGTATCCTTTAAAATCTTGAAGATTAAAACGAATGAGATAATCGGATGTAAACAATCTCATCAATAATATATAAAATGAAAAACAAACTCTAACTTGTGTATCGAAATTCAGAGTTTTGTTAAAATTCGATCAAGTTACAAGACAAACTCTAAATATAAGTTATCTTGAGTATGATGAAGACGTTTTGAGTGCAAGAACTCGAAAATGGTCGGAAATCGTATGAAATCGACTTTTGCCCACTTTACAAAACATCGGATGATAACAACCATCAAACCTACCTTTACAAATAGGCGTAAATAAAAGAGAGATAAGAAACGTTGATAATAATGGATAGAAGATAATATCAAGAAGCACACCGAGATAGGCACTGCAAAGTTGAAACTCGAAACTTTAACTTCAAATTTCAATTCTGACAATACTGAAGCATGTTAAAGAGGATTAAAGGAGCAAATCGCTAAAAGCACAGGTCTAAATGTGATTATAACTGTGAAAAGTTAAAATAAAATGTTATTCCTTATTTTTGTTTGACTAAAACATCTAGTCAATTTTAATGAAGAAGATCATTTAGTAAAACTTAATCATGTAAATCTGTCTAAAATGAATATTCAAAAATGTCTAATTTTTCAATCTAACAAATCACCTTTTTCTTAAATTCGATAGTTTTTTTTACATTATACATAGAAAAAGTCCAAAGAATACCTTGATCAAGCAGCAATTTATCAAAAAACAATAACATCTATTACCAATCATATCATATTAAAATAAAGGATTAATTTCTATTTTCCTATGAAATTGATGAATATACAACGTGTCTAGGAAGTCATTAACTTAAAAGGAAATTGTAACTCTATTATGATTCTATTGAATGGTCTAATATCCGCAGCAAAATTACAAAGAACTGAGTGTAAACTCAATAACTTGACAATGGCAATAGTTAATGACTTGCGAGTTTCATCAATCCAAAGAGGGGAATACCGGACGTCATTTTATTTCATACTATATAAGACAAAATTGTTTTAAAATTCGTCATCGTTGCAAAACATTCAAAAAAAATCCATGAAAATGGTGTTCCGTTTCAATATAATTTTGATTTAGATGTGTTCTGCAGATAGAGAGACTTCAAATATATAGTTCAGCACACGATTTAGGTGATTATCTTCCCATATCTTGATGTTGAGCAAAAAAAAATGACTTATCTATTCGATCAAATTATGTAGAATTCAGTTGATTTTTAGTGAATTTTCTAACTTTTGATCAAAATTTCCTTAAAATGAAACACCGTTTTCATGTATCTATTTGGATGTTTTTACGAAGATGATTAGTTTTTTAAAATAATTTTGTCTTATATAGTATCAGACCAAAGAATGTCCGGGAGTTCTTATCTTTCGATTGCTGAAAACGACAAATCACTAGTTATTGCCGTTGTCGAGTTCTTAACATTACATGCACCGTACTTTAATTATGGTGCGCACATTAGACATATTGATCTCCAGTCCAGTGTTCGTAAAAACTCTAAAGCCACATAGCTTTACTCAGTTTACCTTTCATCGAAGTTTTTGATAAGGGACGAATAAATCATTTTAAACAAATGTACCAATAACTCTGCGTTTCTCAGACGTGTCAATAAAATATTTATAAAGCAAGAGAAACAAGTCTGGATGATTGGAAGCTTACAATAATGAAACAAAATTCAAGAAAAAATCATACGTATTGCTTTTTTTTGTAACTTGAAAAAGGATTTTATTGAGTGTCGAATCTGAAAATGCGTGTTCTCTATCATCAATACAAAAAGCAGTTCATCTAATAGAACCCTAATGAAGATATACAATTTTCTTTTTAGTCCATGACTTTCCGAACAATCTGTCGATGACAAAATAAGAACGTGAACGTTGTTATTATTAGCAGACTTAGTTCAAAAAAACGTGAAGACATAATAATAGAAATATCCTCTTTAGATTTTACTAGTCATCGTTTTTATAACCTTTAATACTCTACTATTATGAAACAATACATTACTACAATTTATTATACTAGTTTATCTTGCCAAGGACAGAACGTGTGCGTTATCATAATAATTACCTTTAACATCAATCTTAAATAATCTGTAAGAAAAACAAAAAGAATTTTATTTTTGAAAATAAGTCAACTAATTATGTTTCTTTAAACTTCTTCTGAGATATTTAAAATCTAGATTTTTCTATAATAAATAGAAAAACAAGTTTTTGTTTAAAGTTGAAATAGTTTCGAATCAATGCGTTGTTTTTTTTTCATACTCAATCAATTAATCAATGACATTATGATAAGCGTTATACCTATATGTGTACTGTATAATCATTTCATGACCTTGAGCTTAAAAATAGAAAATCTTAAAATTATGAAAAGATAAAAAAAAAAGCAACATGCATTTTCTAATACTCGTCTTATTCTTAGATACACAATTATTATTTATATTCAAATAAAACTTGGTATTATAACGCAAACGTACAATGAGTAAAAATATGTGTTTATAAACGCAAAATATTATAGAGTAACAAAAAAGACAAACATAATCGATAAATATAGACGTTTGTTTTTTCTTTTCTTAATTTATCATATAAAACAAAGAAATGTGAAATTACGTGGTTTATAATACAGTTATTTTTAAAAGCGTAAACGATTAACATGAGAATATTCTCATGACGTGGTTTAATAACCGCACTCATATTGGATGGTAATTTTAAAAAAATTTTCATTTAGTTTTGTTTTTAATATTTATTTATAGGTCGTTACGGCAATGTTTTCTTGTATTAACTTCTGTAATTATATTCATTTCATTAATTATCGCAGCTCTTGTAATTTTTAGTCGTATTTCCATTAATTTATCTAATCATGCGGTTCATATAAAACCGTCAACTGTTGGTTCGTCATACTCATTTATTGTGTCTTTTAACATTAATTGTTCTTTTTTTATTTTATTGATCTAGCATTTTCCTTTAGTGTCACATATGTGTTAGTCGATGAATCTATTCGATCATCTACTGAATTTAATCTGAATTCAATTGATCGAGTAAAATTGGCACGTAATGTAAGTAGACAGGAAAAGAAATATTTTCTTTAAATTTGTATATAATTTCCTGTTTAGTTTGAATATGCTCTTGATCTAGGTATTCAAAATATATTAACAATTCATAATATTTCTCCAATTACAGTAATAGAAAAAAGATCCAAATCTCGACATAGAAGATTGTATGTATTTAAATTTTCCTTTAAAAATTTCGTTTATTTTTTTATTAATAAAATAGTGTACAATGTAAGCAAGATCCAAATAAAATAAAAGGATCTGTACTTATCTTTGATTTTAATTTAACTTGTCCAATTGATCATATATGTCAAAATGAAAAATGTATTAATGAAACTATTGATAAGATTTATAAACACTTTCAATCTGTTCCATCATTATCAATTGATTTTAAAAATGTATCCAGAGAATTACGTTTATGTTCAATTGATGTATTATCTCGTACAAGTAACTATATGATAATTAGTTACGTTGTTTTTTTTTGAAAAGATATTGTTTAGTTCGTAAATTACCGCAAGTCTCTACAACATCAATATCAACAATTCCATATAGGCATAATTCAACAACTGTATATTCATCAACTGAAGAATCTAATTTGAATACATCTGCATCAACCATGACGAAAACGATAATGACAAATGAAAGTTCAAATTCTACATTGAATCAAACTATTGGTATGTTTCCCAAGTTTCTCAAGAGGGACATCACTAAAAATTCTGAAACTTTCAGGATAGACAGATCTTGACTAGTAGAGCAAAAGTTGTCATAGACTTAGAATTTCTGAATGCTTCTTTCTATGAGATATAGGAGACACAAGAGTCAAAAATGATCTGAAGTTCCTCCTGCCAACAGCCTTAATTCATTTTTTTTTTCTAACAACTAGGACTAAATTAGAATATGGCTTTTTCTTTGCTTAGGAGAATCAAAATAGTGGAAACCTTATCAAAAAACGTGTTTTTTTGCCTAGGCCAAATTTTGTAAGATCTACCAAAAATCACCAGAATATTATTTTAAGAAAAAAAAAATATATATACACCCCAATTTGATCCTAGTTGTCACACAAAAAATTTCAGTTCAATTGATTTAAGTGCTTGGAAGAAAAACGTGAAACGATATATAGTTTTGGCTAATTTGATTTCTTCTCGATTGTTTTTTCAACGTTTAAAGACAATTTTTGGATTTAAAAATATACTCAATAGATAGATATTACTTCAGACTATACAACGACCACAAAAACACTAAAAATGAAAAAAAAAATTTTTGGGTCACGAAAGGAAGAATATGCTTAATTAAATAGAATATTTCATTTATTGTTATTTGTTTTTTTCTTATTAGTCGATTTTGATACTTGTCTGAGCAATTTATCAATGACTCAAGGTAAATAATAAAATTTTTATTTCTGTCTTAAGATTTTTCATTAACAGAACAAGTACCTCCATGTCGAATATTTCATACGAGTACATTGTTTTTTCAAGATGATCATACACTTATTGTTATTGGTGCATCAAAATTCGAAACTATTATTGATATGCAAAGAATAAAAAAACGAATTATAATTAATGGTGTTATGGTACATGAAAATTGTCAACGAACATTAGATATATCAACACCAATAGTCTGCTATCCTTCTACAGCATCATAATTATGAATAAACTATACGATTTTAAAAATAAAACTATCAAATAATGTTTTTATTTATTTTTTTTTTTTTTGTAAATTTTTTTCATGATCAAATAAAAATAACGCGTGGCTTTGTAAATAATTGTATTCTTAGTATTTTCAAAACTTCTTCTTTAGTTTTTGTTTGATTGAAACATCTTTTTCCAGATCAAGAAAAAACGGGACATTTTCGACCGGTAAATGGTAGGCACTTGGAAGTAGGAATTCATTGAATCATCTTACATAATGTGTCATCGAATGAAAATCAAACTAAATATTTATCGGCAAAAATCTCTCGATGTTTTTGTTAAGTTTACTACAGATAACTATTTTCAAGTGTTTTCATGAAGAAAAAAAAGTATGCGCCATATTATTCATTTAAATAAATATCATCTAATTTTCCTTAGTTTAATATTTTAATTTAAATAAAAAAGTATAAATATGAAAAAAAACTTATGAATAATAACAATAATAATAATAAAAATAATAATAATGTATTAATTGCTAATCAATGGCAATTAGAACGTAAATTAGGTTCAGGTTCATTTGGTGATGTTTATCGAGCATTAAATATTCAAACAGGAGAATATGTAGCTATTAAATTAGAATCAAATAATACCTATTCACAACAATTAGCATTTGAAGCTAAATTATATAAATTAATGAAAGATATACAAGGTATTCCAAAATTATTTTGGTAAGTTTAGATAAATATTAATAAACAATCGAATATAAAATATTTTAAATAGGTTTGGTGAAGAAGGTGATTATAAATGTTTAGTTATTGAACTTTTAGGACCATCATTAGAAGATCTTTTTTATTTATGTAAACGAGAATTTTCATTGAAAACTATTCTTATGTTAGCTGATCAAATGATTTTACGTATAGAATGTTTTCATCGAAAATTTTATCTTCATCGAGAGTGAGTAAATAATGAATAGATGTTTATGTTGGATTTTCATTTTAGTATTAAACCAGATAATTTTCTTATTGGTATTGAAAAAGATTCGACCAAGGTCAGTATATAAAACATCATTTGATTGATATATGCTTGTCATGTCAATGAGTGAAATACAAATGCAACATTGACGATCATTCATCGTTTTATCGAAAAGTTACATAGTCGGTTAACAGAAAATTTGTAAGCTTGATTTTTGTAAAATAACGTTTTTTTTTTTCTTATAAAGTTCGGTTAAGATTCTCGGCATTGAGGAATATAAGTCTATAGATACATAATTTGCTTGAAAAGAACAAAACTCGTGAAATTTGAGATTGAGATTCCTCGACTCTGTGAATCTTTAATTAAACTTTATAAATAAAAAAATCGTTATTTTACAAACATAGTCTTTCCTTCACGAACAAATCAGTCTTACTTATTTTCTGTTCCTGAGTAACGTAACTGTCTGGTAACAGTCATTTCTTGCTGTTATATCGATGAATATCGGTTACCAGTGGACAAGTCTGTTGAGCAAAATAATTTACAGAATTTACTCATTCTCTGAGTGAACTGATGTAATTACTTCTTTCATTTCATAGATGAAATTTCGTTTGCAAAGATAAATTAAGATAGTGTATCAACAATTAAGGCGCCTTTGTCAGATACACAATCGCACAGTCATTTTTTCTTTCGTATGTTGATCTATGTTATGATCGCTGCATCATCATAGTGTTCTTTCTTTGACTTTTGTACTACTGTTTGTCGTCTTTTTATGTTATTATTTTTATTTATTATGATCACTGCTCACTTTCTCCGTCACATTCAATCTGCTGGCCTGTGTGAGATGGACACAATGAGAGAGATAGAATAGTACAGTCTTAAAAGACGTCAACTACCATTCAGCAGCAGTCAGGAATAGCAGAAGTTTTTGAGTATTTTAATCAGAGCATCATGATTTATTTTTTTTTTACTAAAATGATTAACGCAACGAGCTCTAGAAAGTTGTATGGATGAAAATTTTTCTCATAATAAATTTAATTTCTCTGAAAATAAGAATAATGTAAAGTTGAATAAATTTAACAAAATAATAATTTTAGATATTTCTCATCGATTTTGGTCTAGCAAAAAAATTCTTTGATCATCGTTTAAATAAACATATATCATATAAAGAAGGCAAAAGTTTAACAGGCACACCTCGATATGTATCTGTATGTTTCATTTTTGTGAATTTCTTCTACAAATTTCAATTATTTTATTTTTTTTGTCTTTCTTTGAGATTTCAACACATCTTGGTATTGAACAATCACGTCGTGATGATATGGAAGCACTTGCTTATGTTCTTATTTATTTCAGTCGGTTTGTCATTTTATTTGTTTGTTTGTTTTTTTCTTCAAATTGTCTATTAAATCTATTTTATTAGAGGTACACTTCCATGGCAAGGTATAAAAGCATTAAATAAACGACAAAAATATGAAAAAATTTGTGAATTAAAAATGTCGATATCAATAACAAATCTTTGTGCTGGATTTTCACCTGAATTTGCAATGTATTTAAACTATTGTCGTCGATTACAATATACAGATGAACCTGATTATTTTTATATACGTCAAATATTTCGTAATTTATCTTATCGTCTTAATTATCAATATGATAATAGATTTGATTGGATTTTATTAAAAAATCAAATATCTTCACATTTTTTAAATCAAAATCAACAACAATTAGAAAAGAATAGTATAATGAGTAATAGTAATAAAATTATTTGAACATAAAAATATTTGTCAAAATAAATAGTAAAATTACTAATCAAACACATTTACTTATTAAATTGACTATTACAAAAGAAAAAATTTAATAGAAAAATAAATCTATTCAGAAAAACAAAAATACTCATGTTAATTAAACATCAACCATATTCGATGATAATATTCGTCATATGATTTATTTGATTATAAAATTTTTTTAGTAAATTTTAATTTTAAATAAAAATTGATAATCCTATCAAATAACTCTGTATCTATTAACTGTTGAAACGATCATGATGATCTTATATGTTCTTAGTTGAGATGTGCGAAGAGCAATTTATTACGATTGAATCGGGATCAAAGATTACAGTTAAATAGTGTTTTGTTTGAGTGAAACATCTTTAAGAACTTTTTAGATTTGACATGAATAATTCATTCTAGACTGGAATCATTGTAAAAGAAGGTACTGAAACCAAACCCTCAGATAAAAGAGAGAGACTAAAACCAATTCAAAATTTCATCGATTATTCTGTTCAATTTCTATTATTATTGATTCTCTTTTGACAAAAAATTGATCATTGTCAATAGGCTCACTATATTTTGTGAAACTTATATATGGTTTTACGACGAAGAATAATAAGTTCAAGTCTCAAGTCAAAACCTTCCTACTTCTTCTCTATAAATCTTAGCAACTCATGTCAAGTTCATTGAGTACGTTCTCATAGTAACGGAAGACAATAGACATAAGATCCACATCCTATATAGCTCTTTAGCAATGGAAAGATGATCCTTAGACTCTCTTCGGAAACATATCAGAATATTCAATAGTTTCCTTGACCACTTACGAGTCGCAATACGTTTTTCTATGTTTTAAATAACGTAGTTTTTGATTTTTAGACAGAAAAGCAATTGTTCAGAAGATGTCATGTAATCGACACAAAAAAATTGACATAATCGAATTTTTACTTTTGGTAATGACCAATATAAAGTTCTTTATATTTATCGAGATACAAGATGATAAGTTGAGATCCGCTGTAGATTTATGAAATAGATGTATAGGGTAAGTAAAGCTGGCAATTAGATTAATGATCAAAAGAAATAAAAGTCATAATAAATTAAAGAAAACGAAATTTAATAGCAACAAAACAAAAAATAGAATGTAGAACGCTAGTTAATTAAAAAAAAAAGAATGAAATTTGTCCTATTTGAAATGCAAATATAAATAAGATGAAATATTTTTTCTCCTATAATTAACTGTGATTTAGTCATCTGTATTGCGATCAAAATCGTAGTCAAAAACAAAACAGAAAAGTTTTTCACAACAGTCTTTCCTAACAAGACTAGAAGAATAACTCGAATTGAAATTTTTACTCAGAATTTTTATCCTCTTAAAAATGCCGTTTAAGATGTGAGGATCGAATTATTGATAATTGAATTTTTTCACATTAAAATAATTTATTTCGAGATGAAAATGAACTATGAAAGAAAAACTGCAAAGTTAATTTAAGATTATCCTAACATCATAATTCAGATGAATATATTTATTTATATACAAAAAAAAAAATAATATCAGATAAATTCATGATACGTTCTTCATTATATTCAACTAGATAAAAGAGCAAAAAAAATCCGTTCACACATGTTCGTTATGCTTGAATGCGCATATATCTCGCATTTTTTTTCTTTTTTTTTTTTTTTACTATTGATCCAGCGATCGTATAAGCACGGGCATACACATACGACGTTGTAAACTGTATTTATTTCATATCCGCTCAATAAAGTATCCTAATATCTACTATTTATTTATATTCCTATACACAATTTCATTGTAAACACTGTCAATAAACATTCGAAACACTGTTCATTTCCTTCAATGACACGTAAGAAAAAAATGTTCGTTTTCTTTTTTTTACTTTAAATACTATACCAAGCAATTGCATTTGTAAGTGTGTAGGTAATACAATAAGAAATAGGAGACGAAGGTAAACAATTTTTATTTATTAATAAAATATATTTATACAAAAAAAAATTTTTTTTTCTTTAAAAAAAAAAGGGAATTCTTTTTAGAATAATCAAAAGATCTACATTGTTAAATTAAATGTAACAAATGGAAGTCGACACTTAGTTTTATAAACGTTTTCTGCATATATGTCCAGCGACATTATCAACCGTAGAGATTTTTGTAAGTAATTATCAATTAAATTTTTATAAATGATAAGAATTAAAATCAATGATAAATATTAACCCTTTCAATACGGCACGGCATGTCATCTCGTAGATGACATGCATATCGTAATATA